GTCTACATACTTGTTATGTTTCGTAACGGTTTATTGAACGGACCCGACAGCGGATGGCGCCATCCATTGTGGTTCTGCGTGATTTTTTGGACACTCTTTAAGAATTACCATGAATTTTTGGCTGCTTTCTTCATCAATATACAGTGCTTGTTTTGCCTGGTTTTGGTAGTATTTCTAGGTTTTCTTTTATTTAAATGCAAGAAAATAAATTTTCATGGACAAATATTTACTGTTTAGTGAAAAACAAATTTTGTTATAGTTATGTATCCTATGCGAGAATTTTGGTCTAAAACAGTTTGGCAGCAATTCCTCAACCATCAAATCTAAACTATAGAAAATCGATGAGTTTTTATCCACTTTTAAAATCTGGGAACTTTTCATCAGCAATGAAAATCTGTGAATTTTTTTTTGATGTCTATTTGTGACTTTGGATGGATAGAGGCGATATTATATGGAAATGGAACATGGTTCTATTAGTGACAGAATGTGAGTGTAAAAACTGTGAACCCAAAAAATGTCATTTAGACATGACAAATCCATATAATACATGGGTTTATATGTGTATGCTTATATATGCATACTTATGTTGAAAATTATGCTTATGTATATACATATATATATTGAAAATTGTGTACTTTACATCTGCATTTAAATGGCAATGGTAAAGTATCACAAAAAATTTAAATAAATTTTTTAAAACAAAAAATTAGTGTTGTATAAAAATGAATTTTATTCAACAAAAAATTTCTTATAGCCCAATCCAAGGTTGCATAATAACAACATGAAGAAAAGCTTAAAAATATTATTATTATTATTTTTTAATTTTTAATTTTATTTAATTTCTAATTCCAAACCTTTTTTTTTTTTAAAAAAAAAGAAAACGATAAGCATTTTCAAAATTTACTTATGTATACACAAACGGTTTTCATATGTAAACATAAATATTAGGTTGATTATAATTCAAAGTAGAAATATTTCTATCTCTTATTCTAAACTTTTTTTTTTTTTGAAAAAAAGATAAAGCATTTTCAAATTTTACTTATGTACACAATTGATTTTCATATGGAAACATAGAAACTTTTTTAAATTTGACTTATGTAAATTAGGCATTTCAAAATGGACTTGTGTAAAGAACAAACAGATCGCTGTTTACTTACCCAAAAAAAAAAAAAGAACATATCGCTGTTTAAAAGATGAAAATGGCTTTCAATTTTTTATATATTTTTTAAAAAACTATTTTATGAAGAATGACCGTTTCAAAATTGATATATGTAATGCTGTACAATTTTTTATAAAATATTTTTATTTTCAAAATAAAATATTCTTCACCACGGAGTGCCTCACTAAGGCTTCCCTATTCCTGAAGAAGGGAGTTTCTAAATAAAGAAACCATGGGACATGTCCAAAGAATGGACACTCCATTGAACTTAATGGAGGCGTCGTATGTGTTTCTAGAGGTGTCAACGCACATCTTAGTGTCATCCAAGCCTCGAAACTTGGTCATGTTTCATAGGTTGGAAGATAGCTATCAAGCTCTTTTCTTGGTTTTGTCATTCATTTGGGCCCAGTTGATTGTTGTTTTCCCAGTGATCACATAAAACTAGTTGATCCCCTTGGCCTCATCAAAACCTTTTCAGCCAGAGAGAGAGAAGATTGATCAGGCATGAGTTTTAGCGGAACGGTTCATATACTACATTATCTATTTGGTTTCAAACAAGATACTCAGAGCTCGAATACTCTCTGATATCAACATCAAAGGTAGTGAGCATCTTTTCTCAGCTCAATTTCTATCGAAAACTTCTTTTTGACAGACCTAGTTGGGGAAACAACACTCATCAACCATCCAGTTTAGGCATCAGATGGTTAGTCTATCCATACATGTACTGTATGTAGCTTTTCCTTTAGAGGATATACCTGTAAGTGTTTTGAGCAAATATTGACCAAACCAACTCCTTGTAGACGATTCTGCAACAGTATATTTCATGGAAACTTGTAGGCTCTTCTCAGAGAATTTATAAATAGTTATCATGCACGCTTTAAAGATGACGATCTTGGAGCTCTAAACCTCTAAACTAACTAGTATAGAACTTGTACTATACCCACCAATCATTTCCCCAATTAAATTTTTTTTAAAAAAGTATGCTCTATTTGGTCATGATAGCAGCATGGGGTGCGGTTTGCATAGAGCCTAAGCTCTAAAGAATCAAATTAGAGCCTACCTTCAAATAGTATTGAAAAATGTGGTTTCTGGAAATATTTTTTATAACCTTAAAATATATTTTCATCTTTATTTATAAAGCTTAAAGCTTCAAAAATAGAGTAGATTGAGAGATCTATGAAAACTTGAAAATTGACTGTCCAAAAATAAGTTACAAAATACACTATTTTCAAAACTTGAAATTCAGTTTTTTTTCTCGTGTTTATGGATATTGATGTTGAGATGATCAATTTGAGGATATTTGGCCATCAAAACAACCTCTTCTAATGAAATTTTTGAAGTAAGCTCTAATTTGATCGTTTAGAGCCTCTCTATATAAAATTTTCCCTAGCAGTATGACCATGGGATAATCACAGTGAAATCAAATGGGTTGGACAGAGATGGAGGACCAGTGAGACATACAGATGAATTACTGATATGTTTCATAGAACCCACACCATTGCTTTCCAACCCATTGATGAGACAAGGAGAACCTCTCTCCCCCTCTCTCTCTCAGAGCGCAAAATCACTACATAGATCTGAAAGGTAAGATCTTTCTCACAATAGCATAGATACCACATCTTTCTCACCATGCATTGATTGCATATGCCTGAAAGGAGAGAGATTGATGCACATTTTTCTTATTTGCCGCACCAGGAATTGACAGCAGAACACCAGTACTACTGAGGTACAATGGCTGCCAGCATCTTTAAAAGAATGAGAACACACGACTGCAGTTAAGTAATGAAAGTGAAACTAACTCTCTGGAATTTCAACCACAATAATGGTTCAAAGCACTAAGATTACAGGAACAACAGATAAGACACAAGTCTATATGGCCATGAATACCATAAAACCATCAACGAAACACCTGGTTTCTGCCAAACTACTATTATTGACATGCTCTAAAATGGAGAGCTTTCCCATTACACATGGATTGATAATAAGGAAACATTTATTTCTAAAAAACAAGGAAATGATTCCCAAAATCAGTCAATGAATTGGAAATTATTCTAAACTTCGCTACAGTTCACTATGGTACTTATTGTTTCTTATCAAAACCCCAGACTAATGCAAACAAATCAAATATGATAACTGTCAGATATAGCAAACAACAATTATCATGATGTGAAGGTGAATTTCCCAGGTTTGTCATAGGTAAGTTCTATCTGATTGATCTTCTCGATCCTGAAACCTCTTGTTCTTATTTCCTCAGCCACCGAATCGTCTTTGTAATCAACAGGTTTGAGGTGCCAACCTTGGTTTTTCACACTCGCACAAATTTTCACCTGCAAGAAGCACCCGATTAGATACCCTGATCATTCAATTCCAAATCCTTTCATCCCCAAAGAGGAAAATAATCCCAAAGAAACGCTCCTAATTCAAGCCCTTCTTTTGAAACTGTGTGTGTGTGAGTGTGCGCCTCGTACAAGACATGACATAGGCCTTCAATCATACCTCTGCACCTTCAGTAGCCTTAACTACAAGTGTCCCATCCAGAGATAGCTTCTCAACAAGGACGTCAGAGCCTTTGATGACCAGAGTAGATTGTTGAGAAACCTGACAACTTCCACTGAGTTTTCTCTTTACATCTGAGGATGTTAATGCCCAATGAGGGTTCCAAACAATACGAGGCCACACTTCCACCTCTTGTCCATTGAATGTCTCCACCTTAGGATCTGCAATCTCGGCACCCGACTGGTTTTGAACATATTGAGCACAGCAATCACATTGAAATGCCATTAATTGGAGAGGCGCAAGTGAAGAGAGAGAAAGATGTTAAAGTTACAAATATTTAAAGAGAATTACATTCCCTAGTAATAACAAATTAATAAGGAGCTCTTACTTCTCTTTCCTTTGGGTGGATGAAGGTTTGAAAGGTAGGAAAAAAGCCAGTTTCAAATAGAGAAATCTCAAGATTTATACCATTTTGAAGAAACTCACAAAAGAACGCCATTGCACAAATAAGCTTACTACAAGGTTATGCCCTCACTGGCTTCTGAGCACTATGGCAAATAAATCAGATGCTATGAATCCTAATATGCATGCATCAAGTAAGAATTTGGTGTCTGAACCTAAAAGTATAATTATACATGCTTTGTTGCTAACACGCAAATATGAAAAAATAGGAGAAATCATTTATTTTCTATTTTTTTAATTGCAACAATTTATCGGAATAGCAAACAGAGAAGAGACAAAGGAATGATGTAGGCGAACATTAGGTCACATTTACATGTCTTATATGGTGTGCATTACAGTAATACTTTTGGATAGAATAGATAATTGCACAAAGGTCCCGAATGTGACAATGTAGTATATAACAATCATAGGCCCATGCCTATAATATATTACATTACACTCTCCCTCAAGTTGGTGCATGGATGTCATACATGCCCAACTTGCTAGTGACAGAATGGAGTCTTCTTCCAACAGCCTTTATAAGGATACCAGCCAACTGATCTTCAGTCCGGACATGAGTGGTACAAATAACTTTAAATGCCACTTTCTCACAGGTAAAATGGCAACCAACCTCTATATACTTGGTGTGTTCATAAGCTACTTGATTGGTAGCAATGTGGATGGCAGCTTAATTATTATATAATAGTTTAGTTGGGAATGTGATACGAAAGCGCATATCCTCAACAAGCACGAGGCCATATAATTCCACAAGTAGTAGATGCCATTGACATGTATTCCACAAGTAGTATATGCCACATCCAAGTGACCATATTGCCCCCAACATATGCACTCTAAGTAATCAATTGGGCAACCAGCTCAATCAGCGAGTGTTCGATTATCTAACATCTGAAATGTTTGCAAAATATAAGTCCACTACCAGGAGCAGACTTGAGATAGTGTAAGATCTGTATAACATCACTATGAGTAGTCTTACGAGCATGCATAAATTGACTGACATTGCTGACTGCAAACATGCTGTCTAGGTGTGTGATGGTAAGATGGATAATCCGCCCATCAACCATTGATAATGTCCAATATCATCTATAGTACCACATGTAACATCTGGTATGGACTTAGTGACAACCTGAGTATCAAGAGGCCTAGTAGCTAACTTCCTGTCTCCTTGTGCAGGTGTAGGAACATATTTCCTCTGTGATACAGGTATAACATTTGACTCACTAGGCAACTTCAATATCTCAGAAGTACTTTAGAGGAACCAGATCTGTAATGTCAAATTGTTGGGTAACTAAATTTTGAGACTGGCAATGCCATCAGCACATCACCTGTGACAATATAAACATCAACCAACTAGAATCTATGTGCCTATTGTGACAAATAAAGAGTTCTTAGGACTACTACATTGAGCACTGAAAGACAATACTTCTGTACTCAGTAATCGTACCAGGCAGGAGGTGACTGTTTGAGCCCATACTGCTTTATGCAATTGACAAACCAATCCAGGTGGGAAAGGCATGACAGGAACTGATTGACACTTCATATAGACTTCTTCAGAGAGGGATTTGTGAATAAATGCATTTTTTGCGTCAATTTGATAAAGTGGCCAATCCCTATTTGCGGCAATTGAGAGTAGAATTCGAACAGATTCCATCTTGGCCGCTGGTGCAAATGTTTCCATTAATCAACAAAATATGTTGAGTGAAACCATTTGCAACCAGTCGAGCCTTCCTTCTTTCAATACTTTCTTCTGGTCAAATTTTTAGTGTGTAAACCCAATGACAACCACTGGCCTTCTTCCTTGGTGGCAGCCTAATCAAATCTCATGTCTTGTTCTTCTCAAGAGCACGTATCTCCTGAATTTCCTCTCGCCATTTAGATGAGTAACACCCTCATTAAAAGATTTGGGCTTTGAAAAAGTGTGTAGAGAAGAAAGAAGCAAGAAAAGAGTGCTAGGGTGATGAGAAAACAGCATAAAGGATGGATAAGATGTCCTTTTCTAAGAACTATAGGAAGATCAGACTAGTCACTGTACTAGTGAGGGCGCTAGTCCAATCAAACTAATTCGACCGCCAGTTGAACCAGTTAGACTAGGTTTTAAAAAATAAGGAAAAAATAGGATATTTAGGAAACAAGATCATATTACAAAGAAAAATGCCCAATTTTGTCTAACTGGTCCAACTGGTCAAAATTAACGGTTGATTGGTTTGAACAGGTTTTCAACCAATCCTCGTTTTTGCTTTTGACTGAACCAGCTAAGGCACTATCAATGGTCTAACCTGGTGGACCAGGCAGTCTAGTCCAATAGTGATATCTGTGATGGGAAGATCATCAAGGGGGACTGGCTGAGTTGAGGAAGGTCTACCTGAATTTTAGCCTTCAACATGAGTGTTTCTTGAGGAGCTACATGATGAATTGACTCCTGCATAATCTCTATAGTTTTTTCTAGATCAATGTATACAAGGAATGAAACTTGAGATAAGGGAGATGGCTCCACATAACAACAGGTTCACAATGCACTCCCTCAGTAAAGGTACTTGGGTGATCTCACTCTTAGAAAAGTAAGGAGCATGTTCAAGAAAAGTAAGATTCCACGACCCATAATGTCCTTTTCTATGGATCAAAACACTTGGACCCCTTCAGAGTAGAGGAATACCCCAGCAAGACACATTTGACCGCTCGCTGCTCAAGCTTATCTTGTGAGATTTCTAGGTGGTGAACAAAGCAGGTACTCCCAAAAATCAAGGATGGGTAATATTAGGTGGACTAGTAAACTTTTCCAAAGACAGTTGGGAACATGAGAATCTCAAGTACAATCGCCTGAAACAGAAGAGAAAGAGTAACCCTGTGCCAATGCCTATTTTACCGTTCTGCCACCCCCTATTGTGGAGGGTTACAAGATAATATGTTTGATGAATAGCCATTTACTTAGAAATACAATGACAGGCTTCTATTTACAAATTTCATACCATTATCTGATCCCAAGAAAACAACTTTAGCATCAAACAGAGTAATAATTATCTTATAGTGTAAATACTTCAAGTATCTCATCCTTGGATTTCAAAAGATAAATCCAGACATAACAGGTGTATTCTATTAATAAAAGATAGAGAGTACTTGTAACTTGAATGAGAAATAAGAGGGGATAGGCCCCAAACATCTGATGTATTTTATGGAAGGGTTGAGTAAACAGCAACTTATTGTTAGGAAACCATAAGTGATTCAGCTTAGACATTTGACTGACTTGACATGAACCAAACTGAGACTCTAGACACTTCAGTGTAGGAAAAAAGTAACTCAAAATCTTCCCTGAGGGATGATGTGTGAATGCCGTAAACCCCCTCCACTTAACATGTACAAAAAGGGCCGCATAAGCAATTATTGAATCACATCCCTCACCAATGACCATCCTAGACATGCAGGTCCAAAAGACACAAAATGCAGGGAAGAAGGTTATAATGCACTTAAAACTTTTTGTAATGCTGCTCCAGACAATAGACTAGGGGGAAGGAACATATAAACATCATCGAGAGGAAAATAATATGCTAAGTCCAAATGACCAATGCTAAGCGCTGGGAAAAAGGCTACATTGCAGTCAAAATTTTTGGTACTGCTGCGCAAAGAATAATTGGAAGGAGGTGATACATAAAACACCAACAAGAGGAAGAGGAGGACCTAAGCCCAAATTACCAATACAAAGGGATGGAGTGCTAGAACCATCAGCTGATGAAGCATATTTAGTGTCATCAATTTGTTTGAAAAAAGAATGTGTGTGGTGTTTACCTGAATATATTGAGAATAAGATCTTTATGATCCAATCAACGGGTGAGGAGCAAGCAAGGAATAAGTGCTACTTTAAGTTTCTTGAAAACCAGAAGAGAGGAGATTGGGGAGAATCATCTTGTCATGGCACCGACGAAGTGGGGGAAGACAGACGGGGATATGTGCTATCGAGTGAGGTTGTTCCATTCTTGTTCGATCTCTGGAGTTCTCATTCTCAAGATTCAACGCTATTCTTTTCACACCGCTGGAAAATTCAACCATTTCCCCAGCCTGAATCTCGTTCAATCCATCAACACGTGCAATCCCATCTCCAACTGAGACCACTCGACCGATCTTATCAACTTGAGAGGAGGTAGCTACTTTCAAGAAGCAAGAACTTACAAGGTAACCTTCTCAAAACAACTACTTTCTAGTGGTTGATGATCGATTTTCACTATTTATGATTGAGCTCTTTAAGCTCATCTAATGGAAATTTGGAGTTAGCAGCAACATTTGCATAGAGTTATCCACTAATGGGGTAATGGTAGCAACTCCATAGAGGGTATCCTCAAAGGTGGGGTAACTGATCTCCCATGAAAAAACCAATAATCTGCTACAATGAAAACAATTCAGTTTTTCTACCGGCTTTTAATCACGGCCATGTCATCATGGGATCATATCACTGTTGGAAAAACCGGGCGATCTAATTGGTAACCGCCCAGTTAGATCGGAACCGGCCATTGGCCGGTTCCGGTTATAGGCGGTTTTGGTGATCTGCTGATATTTTAAAAAAAAATTCAAAAAAATGTATATAATTTTTTAAAAATAAGGAATTTGTTTTGTAATGCATTTTTTAATATTCTTTGCAATATGGTAAAGATTAAAAATTGTTTTGGTCATTACTACTCACTTTTATATTTTCTCATCTTTTTCAGGAAAATTTTTAAAATTCTTTAAAATCCATTTTTTCATTAATTTTCAACTTCATTGAATGTGTTTTGTTGTAATCATGCTTTATATGCTTTTCATATTTTAGTTGATTTTTTTTGTATCTTTTTCATTTTTTTCAACACTTTTTTGATAGCCCTGGATTTGCCCGTTAGAACGATTGAATCGGTCGGTTTACTGGTTAGGCTAGTTAAATCACTTATGGGCCCATGTCTGGTTAACCGTTCCGGCTTGATTTTGCGAACACTGGATCATATCCACAGCCAACACTAGGTGCTCATAAAGTAGGAGGCTCCAGGTTCATGATTTTCTTCCTTTGCTCCTCTTCTTGAAGAAGATCCAAGACTGAATGAGAACAGGGCATGCCAATTCATTACACATACCTCTTAGCTTGCTAAAATAGTCTCCACAATATCTTTCTGGGCAAATTGCTCCATCACAGCCTCCTAGATTCCAGAAGCTACATCTAAGGAAAGTAGGCTTTGACAAATAAGAACTTCAATGGAACTCAAGAGCCAGCCTGCAATAGAGTTGTTGATACCCCCCCATTCATTAAATTTGGGATCAAGCGGGTCTGGTTTCTAAATCTTCCCGTTGACATGTCCAAGCTTGTTCTAGCGTCGAGGAAGATAGTGGCCAAATGAGCCCATGTTAGGTAGTACATCTGGCTAATATCACAATTGTAAGTTGCTCTCTAGGATTGTTGCTCTTGCGGATTGATACTACTTGAAGAACAAGTGGATGAAAGAACTTTGTTACATACTGACCAATGGTATATGGAATAAAATATGGAAAATTGTTTCATGCGGGCTGGACTGCATGACTACATATGCGGTCTAGAAAGTATAAAGCATCCATCTAAAAGATGGATGCAAGTAGGTGTTCCATCTAAAAACAATGGAAACTAACGGTCCAAATGTTTTCTTACTAGAATTATTATTTCTAGTTTTTCAAATTTATTTATTTTTTCATATTCATAATCTTTATGTTAGAAATTACATGTCTTAAAAATTAAGTCCAAAAATCCATCTCAAAAATAGATTTATTAATAGGCCCACATTTCTACATATGCGGGCTTGGCCGCATAGAAACCGGGTCCATAAAATATATCCTTTCAGTCTACAATTGAGAAAAGATAAGACTTGAAAAGCTTCGACAACCAATATTCTTGAAAGGCTGAAAAAGTATCAGGATTTGAAGAGGACCATCCAGATTTGAAAACTCAGCATGTATAAATGAAAGATCGAATCTGAAAAATAAGCAAGGATCATCTAGATCTGAAAAAACAGAGTATATATTTGAAGACTCAATGGAAAAATCAGAGTTGGCAATTGTATCGCTGTACTAGTTATGTGAGATAAAACCTGCTTCCTAAGGAGGCAAGAAAGGAATAAATGAATAAGAGTGAGTGAAATACTAGCATAAATCCACATCTAGACTGAAGTTAAGCATGTTATTTCCATTTTCAGAGCTCATGTGCAAGGTTATTGCAACCAAGTGTGAGATGAGAACTTAGTTACCAGAAAACCATAATGATCAATGTGGCAATTTCCAAGTAGTCAGCAATGCAGATACCAAGTAGTGACTACAGATGCACCTGAATTCAGGAGCATGTGGAAACAACTTGCTATGCCCATCAATTTTTCAACCAGCAAAAGCACTAAGGCCACCCAATTTAGTTTACGGTTGGTATGGACACCACCCCAAAAGTGCATTTTGGTACTGTTAGGGAGGCTGAGTTTTGTTGCGTTCATGGATTGGGGCATCTCTTTCCACACCATTCCAAACTACATCTATCGTGGAGTTAAAATGCCAACCTTTTTGCAACTGGAATAAAAACAGCCTTTTTCTGCTTTTTTCCCACCTGTGAAGTTTAGATTCTTGTGCCTGCCAAAAGCTGATGGGCCAAAATGACCCTTATAGGTGGTTATGGCTCAAGATCATCAGAATGAGAGGACGATCATAAAATGAAAACCAACATCTTGCTTTTGTTTATGTTATTCCAAAGATTTTTGCTAGGTTCTGCCAAAACATATTTTGTCCTGTTGGACTCATCTTTCTACGGCAGATACAGGACCCTGACCGAAAAGGCATGCTAATCTCAATGCATGCTGCGCAACTTAAATACCCATTATACACACTAAGATGTTTTGACTGGAGGACATATACAACAATGGCATTGAAAAACAAGAAAAAGGAAGATATCCTTAACACATGCCTGGTCAGAATGAATCTTGCCACATGTAATTTTATCAGGTAGGTAATCTTCTTTAACACATGCCTGGTCGGAATGAATCTTGCACCACTTATAATTTTATCATGTAGGTAATTAATTTCACAAACCAAAAGGAAATGACACGATAATCTATGACCTAAATCAACAAGTACTAACATGAAGAGCACCGTCCTTATCTTTCTCAAGAAAATTAATTTAGCAAGCATCCTTATGTATATGGGAACCATGAATATATTGTGCCGTACAAAAATTTTCCTGACAGAAGCAGCACGCCAGACTAATGCTAACATAAATACCTTTCTAAGGATAAGACTGTTTGCTCTGTAGATAGCCATTTCTCCCGATGTGGCACTGTGGTAAGGATTTCCCTTTGGCACCTGATATTATCAATACAAAGACCATAAGTATCACAAAAGTTATTATTTTGAGTATTTTAGCTTTGAAACTGAACATAGGAGAGAGTAAGATGGATAAACCAAATAAATAAACAAACAGAACAGAATATGAAAAATACTAGATTGTAACCCTGTTTTTACCATTACATAACTATTGTCTCATCTTTCTAGAGCACTTGAATAACTTACGATTGGAGGTTTGAGAAATCATTGAGGCAGTGTATTTCCATTCTGAATTTAGTATATCGAATTTATTATATGACAAAGGAGATATTTTTTTCACTAGCAAGAAACCAAAGTTACTGCATATAGGCTGATAAAACAAATGAAGAATATTGATGTAAGATACATGAGACCTATTGTAAGTAATATCCTTTAATTAGGAATGGGGTTGAGGTCAAGGTCGTAGCACCACATGTGACTCAGCTACCAATCTCGGTGTCCATTCCTGCCAATGCTAACCCCTTTCAAAAATTACTTACGGTCAAAATGCTAACCCACTACCAACAGTCAATGTTTAAAAAAATAAAAAAATAAAAAAATAAAAAATAATATCCTTCGATTTATTGAACCAAAGCCAACATAACTCGACTAGACAACTAAGAGAAAACATAAGAGCTTTCAATTTGTTGAAATGGTCTAATCACAAATGGAAAAAATGTCAATATTGATAGGTAGTATTTATGCAAAACTATATGTAAACAACAAAAACACTAAATAAAATTAACAGTGCCATTGTGCCATTGTCTGGTAAATTTTGGTACAGAGATATGTACCTTAGCAGCATCTTCAGGATTGTTTTTCACAGGTGCATATGCAAGCCAAGTATCCATCACCTAGAAAAGAGAATGACATCCTCTAGTACTTAGAAAACATCCAATATTTCTCAATTAAAATTATCTATCAAGTTTCAAAAAGAAAGGATTAAAAAGAAAGATCATTAAGAAACCACTTGTAATGTACTATTATCTCAAGCAGAAATACTGTAGTAGACTTGTAATATTAATTTATGAAATTTGTCTAGTCACTAATCCAAAAATCAATGTAATATAATCAGTGATTTACCACGGATACAACAATGGATAATTTTGCATGGATAGAATAATTATTGTATTGTCCAAAACTAATGCCACCAAAATATAAATACTTCTTAAGACTTTGCTTGATTAAGCCTTGATTAAACAACCTTGCACTTGTGTTTTGTTCGGTAAGTTTTCTTTCTTTTCTCTAGTTTCCACTTATAAAAGCCTAGTTTCCACTTTAACTTTTATAAGTTTATCCCTCTATAAGCATCCTCTCTCTCTCTCTCTCTCTCTCTCTCTCTCTCTCTCTCTCTCAACTACCTTGCACTTGTGTTTCTTTTGGTAAGTTTTGTTTTTTTCTCTAATTTCCACTTTAACTTTTAT